CCTTGCTATTTGGACTTAAAAAAATACTCTCTTTGCTAAAGCCACTCTCAAAAGTCTGCCTGCTGTTTCTTGCCATTTCCACGATGTTCTAGAAAAGGCCACACTCTGGAGACAGAAAACAGACCAGGGGCTGCCAGGGGCCGGGGCTGGGAGGAGGCCTGAGCAGACGTAAGAGGTGATTTCCTGGGGCGGTCTGTGGTGGCCCTTACGCAAGTCTGTGCAGGCCTCACAACGCGGGGAATGCCACGCCAGAAAAAGAGCTATCAACAGGGAAAAGAGGGAGGAGAATTCCATTTTTCATCCCACCACCTATAACGTGCTTCCCTGCGGAAGTCAAGGGGCACACAAGCCGGGCGGGAGGACCATGACGACTGTCCAGCCGCGCGGCACGTCCGCGCGCCGCCAGGCTGAGTAAGGCCCGTGCCGGCCGCAGAGCACCCTCTGTGTCTGTGACGCCCGGAGCCGCCTCAGCGCGAAAGGCTCTAAAAGATAGGCTAGCAGAACTCGCTTCTCACATGCTCGGCGTCACAAGAGCGCGTCTGATTTCAGGGGCGCAGCTCGGAGGCGCCGAAGCAGCTCATGGCAGTGGCGAAGCGCTTCCCGGACACGGCGGGCGGACGATCCATCCCGAGCCGCGCAGGGAGGGATGGTGTCGTCACAGAGGGAGCAGAGGCCCGAGGCAAGGACCCCGGTGATGCAGGCGCATCACAAAACATATTAATATTTTTCAGTTATTTCAGGGATCACACTTACAGGCTTTTTCCTCCTCCCACGAGGGTTTTGAAACCTTCTCGCGTCTGTCAAATACACCTCAGTATGAAAGAACACGGCTGTTCTCATTAGATGAGTTTGCTTTTGGGCAATTTTCCCCTCTTACAACAGCTAAGTTAGTAGAGTGTGTACTGTTTTCAAATAGAAAATAAAGAAGTGCTATTTCCCCCAATGTCTAGCTTCGCTTCAAGACAACTCTTCAGAAACCGCGCACTGGGAAATGGTAGGAAGATCTTCTCTGTATAAAAGAAACAAAATACGAAACACTGGCTCTTCAGGGCCAGGAACGGTCTTTTGAGAAGAAATGAGAGGACGTAAAAAAAAAGCACATTTTGGAAACCAGAACGTTGGTACCACCTATGTAAAAACATCATAGTGTTCATTATTTTCTACATTTCAGACATGACGTTTATAGACCTGTAAGCAAAATGTGCTTGGGTGTCCTCTCTCTCAAATCAAGCTGATCGTTTTTTACACCTTTTAAAGGGTACTTTTAAAAAAGGATTTGTTTATTTTTAGAGAGGGGGAAGGGAGGGAGAAAGAGAGGGAGAGAAGAACCGATGCGAGAAACATTGATGGGTTGCAGGTACCCCAACCAGGGAGCGAACCCGCAACCCAGGCACGTGACCTGACTGGGAATCGAACTGGCGACCTTTTGTTTTGCTCTGCAGGATGACGCCCAACCCACTGAGCCACCATGGTCAGGGCAAAGGGTATTTTTGAGACCATCCATAAAACATAAAGTTGACCTAGTTCAAAGCAGCTAATGTGTGGATGTCCACGGGTGTTAGCCAAGTTTCGGATTTATCATATTTGAAGAGTTTCACTGGGAAAAAGGTATGCTAAGTAGCACGATTCAGCATGTCTAGAATAAACATGGAATCGTGATTAGCGACTTCCCAAACGAGATCTCGTCCCCTTCCCCTTGGAGACATTTCCCTTCTCTTTTTTACAGAGCAACACGCGTCGCTGGCCTTCCTCCCGCCTGGCTGGCCTCCCTGTTCTCCCTCGTAGGAGGCTGAGCCTCTGCAACCTTTGTAACACACTGATGTCCTCATGACTCAGCCTCCTGCCTCCTCCTCCGCTTCCGGGAGGCCCGCATGCTCCGTGGGCACAGGGGGCCCCTCCTCACCCCGGCATTGTTTCCTCCCCCACGACGATCGCTTTTGAGATCGCGCTGCCCCGAACATCACCAATGGCAGCCATACCCCCTTCCCAGATCCTCGCTCAGAGGCTCCTGTTAGAAAGAGCCCCCGAGACTCAGCGTCCCCATGCCAGGCCGTGAGCAGCTCACGAGGCCTCCGCCCGCCTCTGAGCCCCAAATGTGATGGATGATCCGTCCCTCCTCTCCGGCCACGCAGGGTCCCGCACGCTCCTGCCCGCTGGGCCGCCTCCAGCCGCGGCCGAGGGCTCACCCCCGCATGAGCTCTCCCCTCCCCCTGCCGTGGGGGCCAAGCCCTTGAGGGGAGAGGACGGTCCTGGGTCCCCAAGGCCGTCTGCCACCTTTGGATTCCTCAGCTGGAACTGTCACCGGCTACACTGAAATCTTATTGCACGTGAAACATTTATTCGATTACATGAGAGGTGGTTCGTAATTGGATGGTGACTTCATACGGAAGTGTTTTTTATGATCGTCTTTTTAATGAGCAGCTGAGTTAGTTTATATAAACAAGGTACCCGAGCTGCCTTTGAAATACGGGAATAAGACTGTGATAAGCAGGGATCCAAGGGGGAAATTCTAGTTTTTTTTACAATTCGATAGAAATCACCTGTTGTATTGCCCATGTGGAAGTTCTCTACACCCTCATGAGACTATAAAAAGCCTCAAAAAATCCTGCAGTAAAAAAAATTTAATTTTGTTTGACTAGTTTGCAAATTTAGGGAAATACACTACTTTCTTTCTTTCTTTTTTTGAGGGGGGAGGATACCCAGGGATACTTATTCTGACGCTAAAAGCAGATTTGAATGTCCCGGGTTATCCCGAATCCCAGACCAAGACGCTTCCCCGGAGGCCCAGCCCCTTTTTCTGGAAACACCCCCATTTTAGCTTATCCAGTTAGGAAGTTTGTCCTAACTGAGTTTTCCTGCAGAATCTCCTGGTTTTTCCCTCCAGAAGAACAGACCTCATGCGTGGACGGTCATTTGCACGGTAACTGCTCAGGACTCGAAAACTATGCAGAGCTCCTTCCAGGTTCAGGTTGAAGTATCTCCTGCTACAGATTTTTCACAGAGCACACGCTTTCCGCACTTTAAGCATCTTGTAGCTGGCTACATACATCCACTCCAAATTTCTTACATTTTCCCCTGAGGCGAGAAAAACTGAACAGAGTCCTACTCTAAAGGCCGTTTAGTGAAAAGGTTCCTATTTTCAGCCAGTTGTTCTATGGGGTGAAAACGCATTGTTAGCAAAATATCCTTCTGCCAACCAGTTCTCAGTTGTATTGCGACCCTAGGGGACTCCTAAAGAAACGTCGAGAAAGACAGAGAGGCCTGGAGGAGAAGTCTACCGATCCTGGCACCGCAGGCTCGCAGTTAGAATCTTCTAGACTCGGGAAGAGATGTGTAGCTTGGTCTGCGAGGTTTCTTGGAGCCGCTTGCTCCGTGCCGCGGGGTGGTGACTCATCCCGCTGGCTGGGTGCCCCCGTGGTGAAAAGACTCTCTACCGAGATGACCCAGAATCTGTCCTTCTCTGCTTGCCTCACTCAGGCGGTGGCTGTTCGCTGAGCGATCGAGAGCAAAGCCATCGCCCCAGCTCGGCTGCAGCCCCACAAGCATCTGCTGAGCGACGTCACATGGCTGGTGGTTTCCGAGGGCGATGAAGGGGCTGGGGCGGCACGTGCAGAATCCCAAGGCACATGGCACCTGGGGGTGTCCGACCCGCGGCCCCGGGTAGCTACGAATGTGGGCCAACACAACATCGTACATTTACTTGAAACCTTTTTTGCTCATCAGTGTTCGTTAGTTTGTGTGTTGAACGTGTGGCCCCAGACAGCGCGGCTTCTTCCAGGGTAGCCCCGAGGCGCCAGGAGGCTGGACGCCCTTAGCCTCTCAGGTTCATTAACTCCCCGCAATGAGGCCGGGACGCCCAGCGGCCCCTGGGTGGAGGATGTGACAACTTCCATGCAAGGGATATTTAAAGGAACCAGAAAATGGAAAACTAAAGCTGCCGAAAAGGCCTCCATTGAGAAGAACGAAATGGAAATCTCCACGAAAGAGCCCAGGTGTCAAGTATTTTTAAAAGAAGTTCTAAAAGTTCTAGACGTGGGCTGGCATCCCTACGCCAACCAATCCCGCGGGTTCCCCAAGGGGATGTAGGTCAAGAAGCCGGCCCGCCCGGTGCCTGGGATGCCGCTCAGACCCGCCCCGAGGCTGCTCGGACCTGAACGGCGGGCAGGCTCCTGCCTGTGTCCCACATGCGGGCACTCTGAGTGGCGCGTCTCAGAGGAAGGACAAAGGCAGGGGAAGCTGACATTTTACTCGCCAGGAAATAAAGTTCCACAAAGCACATTTCCAAAGTCACGAACCTCTGACAAGCGGAACATCTGCTTCAGGGGTACAAATAAGTTTCACCGTCGGGTTCATTTAAAAAGCCAAAGTTAATTTTAAAATATGAGCATATTGAAAGACAAAAACAAGGAAGACAGACCCAGGTGCAGGCCGCTGCTAAGGCCCGCGATGAGACTTGTGGAAAATTTTGGAGACGCTTTATGGGAGACGCGTGTGTGAAGTGCTAAAAGCAGGGCTTTCTATAAGGAAAGTGACGGTTCACCTCTTCTCCAGAGGGCGATGATGACGAGGCAGAGTGAGCATCTTATTTTAGTTTAGGGAGAAACTGCCAGCTGCTTTTTTGGCCTTGGGATAAAATTTATGATGTGACTGAGGAAATGCCAAAAAAAAAATAATAATAATAAATAAAGCCCAAACAAAACCAGACACAAAAACCCCGCACAACATGTTCAGATAAATCCCTATAAAAATACAACTTCTTACCATCTCTCCAAGAAAATCCTATAAAAAGACCCTAAAAGGAGTGATATTTTTGTCTGTCACAGGAATTTTTATACCTTTCCTCCCTGCTAGGTGGCAGTGTGGCATAAAAAGAAATTATCCCCGGACCCGCGCATTCAGGATTCAATGATGTCGAAGAGTGAAGATTCGAGGCAAAATCCTTAATAACGTATCAGCAGAGAGGAACAATTCATTTCTAGACAGAAAGATGTAGTACTCACGGGTTCCACGTTATAGGAGAAAAGTGCATATTCTTTATCTGGAGATATTTCGTATCTGATGGCTCTTAACGATTCCTGAAAGAAAAAAAGAACAAAGGACTTTAAAGTATCACATGTAACATAACTCAAAGTCTCCTGGGGACACTCTGCTGGCTGCAGCCATTTTCAAAATTTGTTAACAAAATGAGCAGGCGGCCAATTTTTTTTAACTCCCTAACGTCCGTTAAAAATGTCTATAACCCTCCGCTTGCTGCATGAGATTCAGTTACTTGATGCTTTTCCCCCCCTCATTTTATTTGTATTTTTTTCAAATTTCAGCAAAACCACCCTGACTGTTATCTATTGAAATAAATCAATCAGAAATGAGCATAAAAACAAACAACCTTTGCCCACAAGACTCCCAATCGCTCTCTATCTGGAAACACACTTTCCTTTGCTCATTCTCAGGTTTTGGAGTTTAAAGTAAGCGAATCTGTTTCTAAAAGAGAACCCCATTCTACCTACTCTCTGGCAACCTGCTTCTTTACCATCACAGGCCCTGGCCCACACGGCAGGGTTCAGGGGCTGCCAGGTTCTCCACAGAGCACAGGCGATTTTACCTATGTCAGGCAAAAATGTTTCCCTTCCTCTTACTGCCCCCACCTGCTGGGCCACCGCCGCCACGCGGACCCACACTCCCCGTCGAAACAGCCCTCCGTTGTCGGTCTAGTGCGCGTAACTCAATAAATGCGCGTGCAGCCGCTAACGCACATACAGATGTGTAACCACAGCTGACAGTGACATCAGTCCCACGCCTCGTTGTAGTTTTCTTTCTCATGCAACAATAACTTGAAGGACTGTCTTTCAGGCAGCTGCGTTAGCTTGAATTAGTGATTTCAACCTTGTGTAATAGTCTGTAGTGTGGCTGTATCTGAATTTATGCACTTGGTCCATACAAAAGGGGAGCTACAGAAGATTCTTGTTATTCGTAGCAGTTGAGATCTACAAAGTCTCCAAAAATACTGAGTTAGTGAGTACTGTTCCTAAGGGAAATTCACGGCTAGGTTCCTGTGAGCCTCTGGTCATGATACTTTTGTCTACCAGTCGGTACGTAATCTTGTCTTAAGTGTTTCTGTCTAAAGACATCTCGTGGAATGCGTATTGCTGATTCATTAACAGGAACTCATGGGGGAACAGCACTATAACTTCTGCCTACATGAGGCTGACATAACCCATGTGTTTTCTCTGTCAGGCAGAGCACAGCCTTCTTACACTCTGGAGCACAAGACAACACTGAGCATTATTCTGGGGGGCCATTCTAAACAGCAGACTTACCTACAAAAAACAAAGCTGTGAAAAACGCAGCACTCTGGAGACCACAGAAAGAAGACTCATTTATAGTGTGAGAGCTGAAATCAGAAGGCAGGGGGCCACTCAAATTTTTTGTCATTCCTCACATGTCTGAGAATGACTGTGAGAGTGCCATGAGTGTTCATGTGAGGCCACCAATAAATTCTAGCACATGGGCGAATTAGCAAATACAGAAGCTGTCAATCATGATGACTGACAGGGACATGCTTCCAGTCTACTGTTACTGTACACAGTATTGCAATCAAGATCCTCACCGATGTATCTTTACTGTGTGTGCATGTGCACACACTTAGTTTGTTAGAGGACAGATATCCGAGGGTGGGATTGCTGATGTACTGAGTGGCCAGTGAATTCTCCAAGATTTCAAAGTTCCTTATTTCATCTTTATTTTGTGTGGCTCAGTTGGTTGGGCATCATCCCCCAAAGCGAAAGGTTGCCAGTTTGATTCCTGGTCAGGGCACACACCTGGGTTGCAGGCCTGGTCCCTGGTTAGGGCGCGTGCAAGAGGCCACTGATTGATGTTTCTCTCACACATCAACGTTTCTCTCCTTCTCTTTCTCTCTATTCTCCCTTCTCCCTAAAATAAATAAACAAAATCTTTTTTTAAAAAGGTATTTTTGATGCATATAGAATTCTAGATTGACAGCTTTATTTTTCTCCTGGGATCTGAAAGATGTCGTTCCACCATCGTCTGGGTTGCAGTGTCTGATGAAGAGTCTGCTGTTATTCTTATGTTTGTTCTTCTGTAGATAATATGTCCCTTCCTTTTGGCTGCAACTGAAGTGTTGTATTTTTCACTGCTTTTCAAAATTTGACTGCAATATGCTTTGGTGTGGCTTTTCTTTTCTGTTATTATGGCTGGGGTTTGAGGTATTCTATCAAAGTTGGTGAAAATCCAGTCATTATTTCTTCAAATGTTTGTATTGTCTTTTCTTTCTTCTCTTTCTGGGGCTTTAACAAGAAGTATATTAATACACTTTATATTGTCCGCCAAGTCATTGAGGTTTGATTCAAATTTTTTTTTTAAAAAACCTGTTTTTTATTTTGAAGAGTTTGTATTGCTATTAATTACAGTTTTTTCTTCTGCAGTATCTAATCTGCTGTTAATCTTGAATTTAAAAATTTTATATTTTATTTTTCATCTCTAGAAACGTTACTTGGGTGCTTTACAATCTTCAATTTCTTTTTTCATTGTGCTCATGATTTTGTTTATGTCATTGAGCATTTGGGACATACAGTATATATATATTAGAAATTTTAATGTATTTTTTACTAATCCTATTACTTCAGTTACTTGTGGGTTTGCTTCTATTGACTGATTTTTATCCTCATTATGGGTCACATTTCCCTGCTTCTTGGTATATGTAGTGATTAAAATAAACAAACTAACACCAGATATTTTGAATTTTCTCTTGTTGACTCTTGAATGCTTTTTGTGTTTCTTCAGAGAATGTTGGACCTTTTATGACAGGTAGTAAATTACTTATGGATTAATTAGGTTCTTTAGAGGTTTGTTTTAAAGATATTTTACAGGCTTCTCTTCAATAGCCATGATTGTAGAGCTAATGGGAGTCTCTACTTAATGTCTCATGGCTCGAAGAAACTTAAAATGATTCCTGGTCATTCACGAGCCCTGGAAATTCTTCCTCGTCTAAGATCCTGTAAATGTTCTTTACTTGGAACTTTATTTTGTTCTGCCTTGTGGTGTTTCACTCTTTATTTATATAAAGATCAACAATTAACCAAAGTCTCAAAGGAACCCTATGCAATTTCTCAAGTTTGATCCAGGTAGCTTCCTCCTCTTGTGTACTCTGTCTGATAAATTGCAGCAGCCATATTTTTTCCTTAAAATCTAATGTCTCCTTAATTCAGGAAGATGAAGAAACTGCAGCTTTCCTCCCTGTGCTGAAGTTCAGCAACAACCTTCAAGCAGGAAGCTCAGTGGACAGCTGGCCTCATTAGTTTTCCGTTTTTCCAGGGGTCCCAAGTAGGAACTGCCTGTTTTCCAATGTGTGGTCACTGTTTCCTCCCTAATTTTGTCCTGCTTTATGGTTGTGCATGTGACGAGGATAATAATGATTATCTCATTATTATCATCCTCGTAGTACCATACCCTCTTGGCCAGGATCGAATGTCAAGAAGAGAAGGGTAATTTGTTCTGTCTTGTCTGTATGCCTTGTACCCAACTGTGACTGGCACAGAACAGGAGCTGCCTGAATGTTGGCAGAATAAATGAACGGCCACATCCTCAGCTGTTACACGAGTGGCAATGACGGTTCTGGTATAAAGACGACCAAGGGAAGCCAGCAAAGGCGGCAACTTTCTACACGGGGAACCACCACAGGTCACGTTCCTTGCTGGAGGGCCCGCTGCTACCAACAGCGCCGGAGGCGGCGGGAATTGCACGAGCCTCCTTGAGTCGCTGTCGCCGCCATTCCGAGGCCTAGTTCCACGAATTTCTGGTCACCCCAGCCTCCATGGCCCCAGGGTTGTGGAAATTATGGGCTGTCGGTCCACACTGTCACCAGGTGTAAATGATGGATGCAAAACCCCACCTAACATGTTTCTAAACATTTCCCCCTGAGACTATTTGAAGGGAAGATACATTCCCCAAGCCAAGCATAAATACATCCAAAACTGTAAACATGCTCCTGGTGAGAAACGTATCTAAAGGGTCGGTGTTTTATTTTCAGGTGCTAGATAAATGCGTACATGACTGAAATGCAGAGAAGGAAAAGCAGCCGTCAGTGGAAGAGAGAGACACAAAATGATAGAACGTCCTAAATTATCAAGCAAGAGAGGTAGAACGAAGAGTAGAAGTACACATATAGCCGAGGCTGTTTGGGGAGAACAGTGTTTGTGTAAAGAAGGAAAAGAACTAAATTACAGGATTAGTAATGATAATACAAAAGCCACGGGAAAGAGTAAGTTAGAAGAAGACACCGTGTGCAACTCGATGGGAAAACGCATCGCACCAAAAATGAAGGGACGCCTGACTCTGCCCCTTCCTGGCCGGCGAGGAGGAAGGGCCGCCGGGGCTGGGCTATTGAGGACGGAGCCGCTGCCGGCCCGGGCCCGTAACGCACTAAAGGGCACCCCTCACTTGCACCCGGTGCCGGTGCCGCGCCCAGCGCTAGCTGAGACGGCCAGAGGAGAGTTGGAAGTGCAGTTGCTATAGAAGAGAACGGAGGATGATGGAAGTTTCCAGATGGTTCCCCGAGCCCAGTTCTCTGTCCCTGTGAGGACAGATAATTCCACACTCAGTTGCACTGGCACTGTGTGCGCGTGTGTGCGTGTGTGCGCGAGGTTGACCTGACTCAGTATTTCACGGCTCCAGCCTCTGTGGTGGGGCCACAGGCAGCACGGTGGCGTCCAGGAGCAACCCTGGGCTGCGCAGGGTGGGCGTCGCGGGTGGGAGCCACATCCTGGCGGCTGCAGCGCCCTTCGCGGCGTGGAACGCTGGCCGCAACCTGCCCGGGACGGAGGCTGCAGCTGGATCCCTTGTGCAAACCTAGACGGGCCTTCGCGTGGCCTGGGCCAACGCGGAGCGCAGCCCTTGAGACGCCCGGCTACCCGCCAGGCACCAGTGGCCGCGGGAAAAGCTGTTCAGCCTCCACAAACTCTCCTTGTCGGTCGGATCGGAGCACGCACAGCTTTCCCGAGAGGCTCGGGTCAACAAGGAGAGTGCGGGTCTCGCCGCCTGCACCCAGCTCCCGACGCCCCTT